TGGCTACAGAGGGAAGGCCTGGAGGCGACCCCCCCCCCGGCAATTCCAAGGCGGGCGGACCAGGGGGGGCCCTGGAATGATCGGGGAGGCATTTAAATGCCTCCCCGTGCCTTCCCCGGCCTGTCCAAGGGCCGGGGTGCCAGGGCAAGCCAAGGGAAGGCAATTTAAATTGCCTTCCCTTCGGGGGGCGGCTTGCCCAGGCAAGCCAAAGGAAGGCATGGGGTGTGGCCTAATAGGCTAATGAGTTTCTGCTGCTGTTGGGTGTGGCCTATTATGCTAATGAGTTCCTGCTGGGTTTTTTCTACCAAAAAAAGCCCCGGGCAGACCAGTGCTCCTGCTGGCCCCATCCTGGATATGGAACCGTGCCAGCAGATGCCAAAATGTGAGGTCAGGAGCACTCCAAAGACCAACAGCATTTTCCAGGGCATAAGGTTCTGTGAGTCTGACCAAGTGAGCTTTGTTCCACAAAAGCGTCTACCCTGGAAAATGCTGTTGGTCTTTTAAGGATCGGCTGGACTCAGATTCTGTTCCGCTGCTCCAGACTGACATGGCTACCCCACCTGAAGCGATCTTCGCAGGATGCAGGACGCCGTCACTCCCTGCACGGCCACAAGACAAACCACAACCTACATTCATCTCTTCCTAAATAGCAGTGGGCCTGAGCCGGCTACCAGCCACTGAGTCACAGGCGGCTGCCTGCCTACCTGGTTTCTACTTCGAGCCCTTTGGGAGACCGGGATCTTACCGTTTTATCCACCAACTTCTTTTGAATCAGCTTCAGCATCGTCTGTTGGCAAGAGACAAAGCAAAAATAAAATGAGAGTTTATAAAGAGCAGGAGAGAAAATGAAGACCAGTGGCATTCACCAGAGAAAGAGGACATAATGGGCACTGTTTTAACCAAAGGGGTTCCTTGAAGTGAAGCGACTACAAAGCAAGAGTGTTCTGGGAACAAATGCACAATGCACTTCAAGTCACTCTAATGCTGTTCAGTGCACTCTGAACGACAGTATCAACTGAGATGATTTTTTCCCCTTAAATAAAGAGGGATCTCTGATAATATGCTAATTGCTTAAATCTAGATCTACAGCTATCTGTTGGTAACAATATAAACTAATTACCAGGTGGTATTTAATGCCATATAAGATGTACAAAAGCAAACTAAGAACTAATTTGGAATGCTGGAAGAAATGTGGTGAAACTACAATGTTTCACCACTGTTGGTGGGGTTGCAAAGTAGCGTATGCATATTGGGAAATATTATTTAAAAAAATTAAAGACATAACAAATTTTAATTCCAAATACACCTGAGTCTATTTTACTAAATCTGTGGCCAAAGTTAAATATCCCAGAGTCGAGGAAGGATTTATTAACCCATCTCCTATTAGCTGGTAAAATAATATTGCCACAACAATGGAATACTAAGAATATACCGACTTTGGCACAGGGGTATGATAGAATATGGGACTTGATGGTCCGGAATAAGATAGTCTCACAATTAATACAAGGTGAGAATCCTAATAGGAAAAATATGTTTACAGAGACATGGTATACTTTTTTTGAGTATATGAATGAAACCACCTGCCAGAACTCCTCAATATCTAAGAAGGAAGAAGAAGGAAGAAGAAGGAAGAAGAAGGAAGGAGGAAGGAGGAAGGAGGAAGGAGAAGGAGGAAGGAGAAGGAGGAAGGAGAAGGAGGAA